AACTAGAACTAAAAGGTTAACCTAATAAAATAGTTTATAATTAACATAATATTGTTTAATAAAATTTTAAAACATTTAATATATAAAGATAATTATATAATAAATATAATATTTATAAAAACTATGTTAACAAACTATTACGCTTAATTATTAATAATTTTTAACTATAGCTTAAAATAGTTAAATAAAATATAAACTATTATAAGATTAAAAAATATAAAAAAGTGTGTTAAACTAATAAAATATAATATAATAATTATAGTAAACATTTTTATAACTTAATTTTTTATAATAATAATTAAAAAAATAAATATAATTAAACGTATATTATTTATAAAATCGTTAAGCAAAAAAACGGTTTAAAAATATTTTATATACTTTAAAATATAAAACTTTTTTATTAAAAGTTTAAAAAAATAAAAGTACTTTTTTTAATAAATGTAATAAATATTATAAATATTAATGTAAAACTATGTAAAATTATTACATAATATAAATTAAGCCTAATGATAAAATTATTATTATTATAAATTAATTATAATATAATTAAAAACTTTATAAACAAAATAAAAGGTTTATAAAAATAATATTTAAACGTTTTTTAAAAAACTAACAAAATATAAAACAAACGTTAAAATAAACTAACTATACTTTAAATTTTTTGTTAAAAATATATACTAAAAATATCCAATATAGCTTTAAATTTTAATATCATTATAATAAACCTATTAAAATATTATTAAAAATAAATGGCTTAATATATATATATATATATATTATTTAATAAATGGTTTTTTAAATAAAAAATAAAACCATTAATTATAAAATAATTAGCTTAAATTCTTTCTAATTACATAGTTTATAAATAACATAGTTATTTATAAACTATAATGTTAAATATACTTTATAATTAACAGAGTAGAGCTCCTGAAGCTCGATGCAGCAATTTGCCATTGCAGAACGAATAGGAGTGCGAGACCAGAGTTTGCTGCAGAGAACCGCTTAGAACAGGGGCAAGGACGATTGGTGATTCTGCTCCTCGTCAGCATTCAGGTTGATTGTTAATGACACATCGTGGAACTGGATGGTTGAGCTTCGTGTTAGGTTGCTGCCTACATGTTGTTCTTGTTGGAAGAATATCCCCTCCTTGCTACATATAGTATTCAGGCAGAAAAAGCACCGTTCAGTACATGATGCACAAGATAGCTAAACCCCATATAGGGCATATAATCGAGTGAGAGGGGATATGGGATATGTAGCTTGTTACGCCAGCAAGTTCCCTTTCTCCTTTGCCCGCAGCTAAATAGGGATAAGATGTATGGCGTAGGGTAGCAGCGGTGGCGCGCTAGACAGGGTCGCTGCAGCTGGCTTCATAAGGGCTCGCAAAGATGCCTTTTCAACCTGCCCAGCGCCCGTGCGCACTTTGCCGGTTGGGTCTCTGATCATCCGGTCCCCCATCATCGTGGCAAGCGTTGGCTGGTTGGAAGAGATTGACCCCAATTGACCTACCAAGATATGCGAAATGCGGTGCTTCTCAACCTTTTTACTACGCCGTGTTCATTCCGGTCCACCAAGGGCCGTCCCCCGATCATAGAAGATATAGAAGGGATGGAGCAAACGACATGAAGCCACACGTGCAGGGTCACAGCGCCAGAACCTATGGGACCGCCGCACCGCCACAATGAGTCAGCAGAGCACGCCGTACCGAGTTACCAATATTGCGGAGTTGCAACTGGTGCTCTCAGCGCAGGTGCAGGCTTCGAGGTTGAAAGTTATGAGTAACAAACCACAGATCCCGAAGTCGAATAATAACGTAATTCTGCCACAGTAATCTGAGTGGATCTCAGAAACTAATAGTGGGAGGTTAGTATAAGAAAAAGGAGAGTGATATTGATAGTAAAGTCAGGTGGCTGAGCATGTAATACCCGTTGACCGACCCCGGATTCATCGACCAAGGAAAGGAGATCGTCGACCATGTTGTATCGCCAGCAAACCAAATCCGACCAAACTTTTTGTACATGTTTGTTGGAATCTAGCAGCTCAAAGTAGTCGCCGGACTTGTTGAAACAAAAGGTTTGTTATTATAATTGTCTTAAAGTTATTGTTACCTAACTATAAGTCAACAAAGTACTAGAACCAGTGTATATGTTTTGCTAATAATGGATTCTGATGCTGTTTCTTACACGAAAATATATAACTTAGTTTAAATCGCTCTCAGAGGTACAGTCTCGGTCAAGTTAACTCGAGAAGTACCTCTAGTAACATAAGACACATTTCCCTCAACCTGCCCGAAGAGAACCTAAAATCAGCAAACTCAAGTAGAAACATCGCACTCACTATCAAGCTGATATCGCAAGCCACATACGGTATTTCGCACATGTCTTCACCCATCTTACCGAGAAACCCAACCTCATACAACAGCGGCAATAAATCCAGAAGGGTTACCAAGTTGCCAAATGACACTGCACCAAGCGCCAAAGACGATTCTTTTGCTTGGTGTTATTGCATATGCGATAAAGGCGGGCACAAAACCCCCAAAGACAACCTCGAGAAGGCGAAGGATGGTTCGGGCAGACCAGTGTGCGGGGGTTGTTACGATCGTGCAGGAAAGATAGGCTACTGCGGTTGAGGCTTCAAACAAGAAAATCCATATGCAAACACATCGGGAAGTAGCTTGCCTTGTCTAAAAGTGTGTCAATAGGATTGCGTGAATACGCGCTTGTGAGTCACTCCGTGTCTAAGTCACAAGCATCGCTAGAAAGAGCAAGAACAGCATCTAAACAACCGAACAGACATTGTGAAACAAGAACAGTTCAGGGTCATTGTTCACACCGACTTGGGTGAGTCATTCCAATTCAAGGACCTTAGCGATATGTGTTAGATTAGTAAATTCTCAATGAGCAAGCATGTGCCCAATAAACGCAAATCATGGCGTGTGTCTCCATTGTGATCGTACGTTTAATAAGCAAATCCACCCTGGAATGATTAAGACGAAGGAAACAGTGTGTAATTCATAACCCTTCTATGCCTCCAAGTGGCTCAGTTGGGTATAACAAAGATTCTGCTAAATTACTGAAATTTGTCTATGCCCGCGCTTCAGCGAATTATGCCGAGGAGAGTTCATCGCTTAAAGAGGCAAAGGTTATGCTAGGAACGAGTCTGAGGGTCGCAACGAGGTCTCTAATATGTAAACCTGAGTAATGCGGTCTGGGAATTGAGTGTGACCTGGTATTCCTGCTCTCCTCTCAATCGCACTGCTAATAGAGGGTGTTATGGTCTCCATGTGGACATCGCTAGAAACGAAGCACCAACCCATAGACGCATCGTGTTCCATAATGCCGCGGTGTTTGTAGGACATCATCTTGCGATCATGTTGACATTAGCCCGTATACCAGAATAGGAAAGTGCCTTAATTTCGATTGGCCAGTCTCCGGAACAGCACCAACCTACGTATAGGTAACTGAATATTGACTGCCCAAGCACCTAGGTGCGGAACAGAGCTGGCTGTCCGCTGGGGTAGCATATGATGAGAAATACCTACCTAGGCGTCAAGTCGATTAGTATCCCTTCAATCTTTTTCTATGGCAATTAGATATCATGTGCTCTAGAATTTCAACATATCTCTAGACGAAGTGGCCTTGCCTACCGTAGCCCAGAATGGCGACGGAGCACCAGTCTCCGCCTTCGACCGTCACAACAGTCCGCAACGGATCATGAGAGCCACGGAGTTGCTAAGCGACTGCTTCTCTTGACGGGTATAAATATCTCCTTCGACCGAGCCATGGACACGTCGATATTTAAGTCGTTGCTTGACTTTAAGAATTTGCCCTACATTGGCGGGCAATGATCAGTATGCGTAGAGCATCTTGGGCACTGTTGGTAGCCAGCATTATAGGCGGGGCAAATGCGGCTTCGCTAACCAAAGTCACCGAAAACTTCGGTCCAAACCCGAGGAACGTGGGATTCTATATCTACGTGCCAGATAAGCTTGCGGCAAACCCCCCGATTTTAGTCAACCCCCACTGGTGTCACGGCGACGCACAAGCATGCTACGCCGGATCGCAGTACGCAACTATGGCGTCGAAATATGGCTTCATCGTCATCTACCCAGACAGCCCCAATACGGCCGACAAGTGCTGGGACGTGTCATCAAACGCCACCTTGACGCACGATGCGGGCGGCGATAGCTTGGGGATAGTCAGTATGGTGCGCTGGACTCTTAGCAAATACAAGGGCGACCCCAAGCGCGTATTCGTCACGGGCGTCTCTTCGGGCGCCATGATGACGAGTACGCTGATTGGGGCGTATCCGGACGTCTTCGCCGCCGGCTCTGCATTCTCCGGTGTTCCTTTCGGATGTTTTGCGGGGGATGGATACGGCGTTTGGAGCGACGCGTGTGCGACGGGGAAAATCACACGCGCACCAGCGGAGTGGGCAGCATTGGTTAAGGCGGCTTATCCGGCCTACAACGGATGGCGGCCTAAAATGCAGATTTTCCACGGCACCGCGGATGAGACGCTGAATTACAAGAACTTTGAGGAAGAGGTCAAAGAATGGAACGCTGTTCTGGGCTACAGCCAGACGCCCACCAGCTCGACGGCCAACACGCCTGTCAACAACTGGACAAGGTATGCATATGGCCGCGGCGACTGGTTCCAGGCCTATAGTGCTGGCGGCGTGTCACATAATATCCAGAACCAGGAGGCAGTGGTTATGTCTTGGTTTGATCTTGCTTGTACATCGGGGGATTGCTTCAGCTGGGGTACGGGTGGCGCATGATTGTGCAAGCAGTACTGTAGGCAAAACGTACTGAAATCTGAAATTTGACAGAGTACCTATCCAATACTGCATGCTATCTAGAGGCCGTTCTACAATTCTGTAGGGGTTAGAAGTTGGATGTATCTCGGGAGAGGATTCGCGTACACAGTTCAAGCCCATCCACCTTTCAAGAGCGAGCGAGTTCAAACGTTGTGTGGAATCTACAAAAAGGAGAAAAATATTGACCTCGCTGGGGGTCGAACCCAGAATCTCCTGATTGCTTTGAATCCAACTTAATTGATGAAATCTCGTAGTCAGACGCCTTGCCATTGGGCCACGAGGCCTATTATTTGTTAATAATAATTCCTCAGCATGGATTTATCACCATTCCCCATGCGACCAAATGAGGGGTTTAACGGCGGGGTACCCCTGGCGGCTACCCCTCCCACAATGCGCGGTATTCTTGTCGCAAAAGGATGTATCTTCGTTTGATAACAGAGGTTGTGTTTTTTTTTAATTCAAATTGCAACCAGAATACATATTATTATGTCCTACAGGTGTAGGAATTTCTAAATATTGTATAAAGTATCATATTCGAAAATGCGCGGCACCCGAAGTTGATCTTACGATTTTCCGTCAATCACTCGAGCATGAATTTTTTACGCTTTTACATCCTTGCGGCTACGAAAGATGCTCTCGGGTTCATAAAGTCATTAGCTTCTTGTTTCGAGGTCATACTTATCTATCTATTAGACATGAGTAGTCGCTCATTGAAACTGCTCTTGGAGTTATTACGTGATCTAAATATTGCTAGCAGTATTTAGGCCATGAAAGCATTTAATCAATACCGAGTGCATATATGAGATACATATGCCCTATTTAGGGCACTGGATAACGCGATGGCATGCCACCAACACATGGGACAGGGGAGCTGATTCCAATAACCGATCGCTACTCTCCTCTAGTCTTTTGCCAGGTTTGGTTTGGTAAATTCTTCGCGTCGTGTTTGTGAATAGTCTTCATACCTCACTCAGTTAGTCAAATAAGCTGAGTAATACGCTCATACAGCATACCTTCCATCTCACTGGAGACGACTTGGCGCCAGATTTAATTAATACGACAAAAACAACACATATCTACACATCCCTGGGCACATTAAAACTTGTACGTGTCGAAGCACCGCAGTGTGGCCTGGCTGACTTGTTAATCGACACAAGTTTACGTTTCACGGCCTCTACTAACGATCAATCAGATTTCAGAATTCGAAGTTAGGACGGGTCATTTTCTCCCAAAATGTGGCAATTGTCTGACGTGTCTGAGATCTGCACTGGAAGCGCGCTACAGAAAGTGCGACATTAGTGAGTATGCAGGAAATCAGTGAGGGTTGCAGGGTGATTGAAAACCAAGAGTTACTGGAATAAGATATCATTCCTCTTAACCCATTAGCGTTTACGATGTTGTGTCGAACCTATGTAATACAGGGTTTAGGGCAATTCCACTTCATCTCGACGAAGCTTGTTGCGACAATAATTAACATAAGACGCATCATAGTAACGTCGGAAGATGGAGATGAGATGGATTGAGAGAGATCGCGTTTGTTGTCCAAGAGCAGCGGATACTATCAATCACTCATTAGCTCAATACAATGCAAGTCGAAGCGGTGAGTCGCGAGGCCGCATCAACTAGTTCCCTTCCGCAGCCGTCGAATGGTCCGACCCTGTGAGATCGGCCGTCAGGCTTCCTTGCAATCCCGCCTTTTTCGCAATAGCAGTGATACTTCGTCACGACCATGGACCATGGTTCAAGGATGAAGACATCTTGAGTCTAGACTTAAGACTGGGGGCGCTAACCGGAAGGGTACCTAGCATCTTAATGTTCGTGCTAATAAAAGAGGTCATTGCGAGCTCTCCACCATTCTGAGATCTCCAAAACCTCATAATGCCGTCCAGCCGGGCCAAAGAGCTTATTGCGCTTCTTGATAACATTGAATTATCCGATTGCGAAGATGATTCGAGCGGCCGTGGCGATCGCGTAATGGTCGCAGAGGCTGCGAGGCGACTCCTCGCCCGCCTGGAGACACCCTTCGAGCGCGCATGGCGTCTATCTTGGATCAACGGTAGCGTCCACACGGCAATACAAATCGTCTTGGATCTCGGGATTTGGGAGGGCTGGTATATGAGCAAGCAACGTGAGATCTCACTATTGGAGCTTCACGCCTTCGCTCGGACACCATGCGATTTGAATCTCCTCCGTAAGTAAGTCGATTCTGCTATGTGTTCCATTTAAAAAGTGCCGTACGGGATCTTAAAATGCTTTACCCTAGTAGCAATGATGAGACTACCTACTAATGACATGTTCAAGGTCGTTTGCTTCGGCTTCTGGCTGCTGAGCACGTCATTCAGGACCTTGGAGAAGATCGATACGGTGCAACTACCTTTTCAGATACTCTAGGCCAGAGGGAAGAGCCCGTCGCTCAAACAATCTTGTCAGGGTACGTAGAAGGCTCATTGCGTTCCCTCCTACGTACCCTCACTTGCTCTGACAGTTATACGCGCTCGAAAGGACGCACCATGGCCTGGATTCAAGTCGGAATTTGCCACGCTTCCTGTCGCGGACAGGATACGCGGAGCCCTTGGACCCGAGAAACACAAGCTACATGGACCTGACACCAGACCGCCAAGGCATGTTCGAACGATGCCGCGCAAATCCGGACTACCAAGTCAGCTTCATCGGATTCATGCGCGGACTCGCAGCTTATAAGCTGGACTGGACTGAGATCTACGACACGAGAATCCTCATGCGTGACTTTGACGCTGACGGGGAAGAGGCACTTCTAGTCGATATGGGAGGTGCTCATGCCGTGGATATAGAGCGCCTGCTATGCCGATATCCGGACTTGCCTGGCGGAAAGCTCATCTTACAGGATACGCCAGACGTCATCGCGATTGTAGAGGCGAGTGAAAAGATCCGCGTCATGGGCCATGACTTTTTCACGCCTCAGCCCGTAAAAGGTGAGTAAAAGACCACCCCGGCCTCAATTTCCCACCCTCAGCTATCCTTATCTTACCTTCTATATGGCCTTACACTGTTATTGTCTCAGCCAACTTACGGGTCGCAGTTGTGTGGCTAACATATCTCTAATGACTCAGGAGCCCGGGCCTACTTCATGCATGCAGTCCTCCACGACTGGGACGACTCCGATGCAGGTCGCATTCTCAACCACGTCGTCGCAGCAATGAGAAAGGATTATTCGAAGCTTCTGCTTTACGAGAGCGTACTTGTGAGTACGGGCGCAACAATGTACCAAAGCGTGGCAGACGTCAGCATCATGCACCTTATATCAGCAGCCGAACGAACAGAAGCAAGGTGGAGGGAGCTTCTTCGTACTGCCGGCTTTAAGGTCTGTAAGATATGGTGTCATCCTTCGTCATTGGAGAGTGTGATTGAGGCTGAATTGGCATGAGTTTGAGTCTCAACCGATCTGAGTCGGTATGAGTAGGAGAGCTGGGTGGGTGACGCAGAAGATTAAGTAACAGTAATCATGAGGCCCGTTAGTTTGACGAACCTCATGAATAAGTAATGATAGACTCCATGTTTAGTCAGGTAACAACTCCTTTTTGAGCTTGTGTTAGTCTCCTTCTTCATGCCTTACGTCGGATCGGGTAAAGTGATAGAAAAATGAGAGGCCAATGTACCCGATCCGACGTACCTCACTTCTAGCCCTCGGCTCACTCCGAGAAAAGAATCATTATGGCTTCCCAATCTCAATTGTTTTTACTCTTTTTATTCATACGCCACCCAATCAAAAGCGCAATCCCTGTGATGATCGCACCCGCGCCCTCCCAGACCGCCGGTACGCTCCATCCCTGGGCAAAGAAGACTGCAGTAGTGAGCAACCGCATTGGTACAGTGGCGATAAAGAACGTTGTGTTTTTTTGATATGCTGCCAAGGTATAGTACAGCCCCATCGCGATGGCAGCAAGCGCATTGCCTCGCACCACGGGCGTACAAGCGAGGGGGAAGTTGAGCTGCGAAGCCGACGAGGAGGGGTCGATCAAGGATGAAACACCCGCTAAGAACGCGGTGGCACCGAAAACGTAGATCGTGACGGCTGCTGGGGAAGGCATATTGTGTGGTCTCGGCTTGAGCGAGAGCGAGAGAGAGATTGTGATGACGAGATTAGACTATGTGTACATGAGCGTCGGGCCTGTTTGTGTGAACGATTCAGGAAGAATTGTTTACCGTGACCATCAATGTTTGGGTCACTATCACCATACCAAAAGGAGGTAGATCGGTCTCCATACTCCACATAACTATGCTAATTCTGTTTGGAAGCAAGGGTGGTATTGATGTGATAAAAGTAATGGGGTGGGGTTCAACGGATACAGTACTACGACTTGTACGTCTCCTGCGAGCCGACAGCCGGTAGCTCATCTCTTCCAAGTTCTATATTAGATATTTCTCAATTCAATGAGTTCTGTTGCTAGCTACCGGATACGTGAATATTTATGTTTAAAATTGAACTCCACCTTTGTGAGACTGGGGGTGGATCACAAGAACACCGTTTTGAGGGCAAAGGTGTGCGCTAAAATAGTGATCGTGATGCATTAGCTAGCGGTCGACAATATAAACATCAGCATCTATCCAACTCCCCATCGACGCTATTACGTAACAATGCATATAGTGTTTATTATTTTTTGAGTAGTTACTTTGAGGTCATCTATAGTTCTGCTTGAGTGCATTTATTTGAAAAGGCACAGGAATCAATAGCGTTATGGATTTGTCGGCTTAGGAGGATTGACACGATAGTAAGACCTGAATTCTCTTATATAACTGTATACCCGAGTATCATAACCGATATGGATAAATCAACTAGCCACGCTCAAGAGGCTAACTCCCTTTGGCCACCTCATGCCTCTACCTTACGAAAAATCCCTCCAAACCAACATCTAATACCAACCCACTTCCCACTTCTAAGTCCGAGTTTTTCCACCATATCTTCATCAACAGCCCTCTCCATAATCCCCGTTCCCTCCTCATCGGTCTCGACCTCCAGCCCATATTTCCGCGCCTCCAGTATCACTTCCTCAACAGTGTGCGCAAAACTTGTTGGCCGTATCTTCTCGCCTGTAGCCGTGTCCACGAACCCAGCTTGTGAGATCCCGCCCATTTCAGAGTGCATGTTGGTCAAGAGAAGCACACCCCCAGTGCGAAGAAGCTGTGATACATGCGCGAAAAACGTGGGCAGCGGTATGTGTTCGACGACTAGCGTGCTAATTATGGCGTCCACTGTGTGAGGCGCCACAGATGCTGGAGGTGAAGAGGTGGCTAGCATATCGAAAAT